GAAGGTGGAGGAACACGAATGTAGAGGAATAGGAAGGTAGAGGAACAGGAAGGTAGAGGAAGAGGAGGAACAGGAGGAACAGGAAGGTGGAGGAAGAGAAGGAACAGGAAGGAAGAGGAGGAACAGGAAGGAAGAGGAGGAACAGGAAGGTAGAGGAGGAACAGGAAGGAACAGGAAGGTAGAGAAGGAGAAGGTGGAGGAACAGGAGGAACAGGAAGGTGGAGGAACAGGAGGAACAGGAAGGTAGAGGAGGAACAGGAAGGTAGAGAAGGAGAAGGTGGAGGAACCGGAGGAACCGGAACAGGAACAGGAAGGTAGAGAAGGAGAAGGTGGAGGAACAGGAGGAACAGGAAGGTGGAGGAACAGGAGGAACAGGAAGGTAGAGGAGGAACAGGAAGGTGGAGGAAGAGGAGGAACAGGAAGGTGGAGGAAGAGGAGGAAGAGGAGGAACAGGAAGGTGGAGGAAGAGGAGGAAGAGGAGGAACAGGAAGGTGGAGGAAGAGGAGGAACAGGAAGGAAGAGGAGGAACAGGAAGGAAGAGGAGGAACAGGAAGGTAGAGGAAGAGGAGGAAGAGGAGGAACAGGAAGGTGGAGGAAGAGAAGGAACAGGAAGAGTGGAAGAGGAGAAGGTGGAGGAACAGGAAGAGGGGGAACATGAAGATAGAGGAAGATGAGGAGGAGGAAGGTGGGGGAAGAGGAGGAGGAGGAACATGAAGAGTGGAAGAAGAGGAGGAGGAAAGGTGGAGGAAGAGGAGTTGGAGGAGGAGGTGGAGGAGGAGGTGAAGGAAGAGGAGCAGAAGGAGGAGAAGGTGGAGAATGGTGGGGGAGGAAGAGGAGGAGAAGGTGGAGGAAGAGGAGTAGGAGGAGGAGGAGAAGGTAGAGGAAGAGTGTAACAGTAGAAGGTGGAGGAACAGGAGGAACAGGAAGAGGAGGAACATGAAGGTAGAGGAAGAGAAAGGAGTGGAAGAGGTGAAGTTGGAGGAAAAGGAAGAGGAGGAACATGAAGATAGAGGAAGATGAGGAACAGGAAGGTGGGGGAAGAGGAGGAGGAACAGGAAGAGTGGAAGAAGAGGAGGGGAAAGTGGAGGAAGAGGAGTAGGAGGAGGAGGTGGAGGAGGGGGTGGAGGAAGAGGAGTAGAAGGAGGAGAATGTGGAGAAGGTGGGGGAAGGGGAGGAGAAGGTGGAGGAAGAGGAGGAGAAGGTGGAGGGGGAGAAGGATAAGAAGTGGAAGAGGAGAAGAGGAGCCGGAAAAGAAGGAAGATAAGGAAGACGAGGAGGAGGAGGAGGAGGAGGAGAATCAAATCTTACACATTATGTTTTGACTTTAAAGGAAAGACCCACCTGAAGGAAAAATTGAATAAGAATCTATACAGGCATCTTGGACAGCTATCTTGACATCATATCCTGGATTGTTAAACAGAACAAGACACCTGACATCACTTCTATATCCAGGTAAATGATGGTCACTGCCTCCAATCTGAACCAATAAATAATCAGCAATTCCAAATATACCACACATATCAGTTGTAGAGTTGAGTGTATTATCAATCACTAGTCCAGTTGAGTTAGATTCTATATCTCTGTTGATTCCAACCACAAACCAGGTGTTAGTCGACATCATATCTCTTATTATTACAGAAGCACAATTTATATTAGTATTTGTAAACGCGTTCAATTCCACATTTCTTTCAGTTATCACCACCTCGAATATTGTCTGTCCTTGTATGTTGGTAATTTTCATCAAGGAACCCGATGATTCTTCAAAAATAAAGACATTGATTGCGAGGGTAAAGGATTTATCGATTTCACTGCCGTTTATTTTAAGATTAAGACTAGAGAATGGTGAACCATCAATATAAACAGCTCGATTAGGTAAAGTAGGATGAATCTGTCCAAACCTGAAGCAATGGTTCTTCTCATCATCTTGGTTGGTCTTTATATCAATTGTTAACCCCTTTTCGTCTAACGGCCATAAGTGGTTAATATCAACATCATCCAGTGTTCTGTAGGAACATGGTGGAACTAGAAAATATAGAAAGTCCCATAATTGATCAATAATAAAATCAAATCAAATCAATTATTTTTCACACTATTTTACAAATATAAACAGCAATTTTCTACCCGTCTGCTCAATGACACATACTCAGATTTAAAAAAAACCAGTTCTAACGATCCTAACAGCAAAAAGGAACCCGGCGTCTTAACAACATATTGACGAAACAATGGTAGCAGCTAATGAACTACAATTAGCTGTATATTGGTATATCAATCATAAGTGAGTAAGTATTTCATAATGAAAAGTGGTATCGGGTGTCTAGAAGAGTATACATACCCTGGGGCTCCACCCGTCATTTCTGATTAACATACACAACAAACACTATATATACGTAACCGAGAAATTTTAAAAGTTCAAGGGAGGTAACTGATGAAAATATATTTAATTTCAAAAGTCAAGGCAGGTAACTGATCACAAAATGTTATATTTTGATAAGAAAAAAAATTGCAAACACTTGCATCTATCAGGGAGCACCAGGAGCCATTGCTGCTCAATACTACACATAAAAACCTAGTGTAAAATTAAAAGAAACATCTGGTGGTAACTCGACATATTATTCTGATGACATATCACATGTGTAAAACCAAGTTTAAACACAAACATCTGCAAAATTTTGACCTATAATGTTACATAATGATGAAGTTAATGAACGTTTTTAAGTTTAAATCTTCTTAAACCACCACTTTGCGATCAGCCCCCCATTAGTCTTAAAAAGTATAAGGTTGTACATTTGGTACCAGTTGATATTTGGAGATTGAAAACGAACAAAATTGATAGGTAATAGGCCTTATACGTAATACGTTGTTTGTTTTGTCAGGACTAAAATGATGTAGAAAAAGTTACCTTTTAGGGAATCAAAAACTTACCCGAAGGAGTCGATGCCCAGTTAGTTTTCCTTGCATGTTGAAGAAGTTCAGGTATATTACCAATATCACCCGCTGTATCATATAGAGCTAAAGCTGTCATTAATCCGTGGTAGGGATACGATATACCGAAACCAGGTTGTGCTTCTCCAATTCGTAGTGTTCCAGGTAAACCTAATGATACATTTTCACGAAAGGTTGTTATGTTTTCCTTTAAGTCATCTACATACCAAAGAAATTTCTTTGCCGTATTGTCTTTAACGAGAGCTAACATCACCCATTTATTGTAGTCAAATGAAAAGCGCCTAAAGTTCCAAGCAGAATTAGCCGATAGTGACATTCCAAATTGGCCATTAAAAATAAACATTAATATATCACTTATGTCATCATTGTCTATTGATTGGTCGTCAGATAGGTAATGTAGAATAATTCCAGTCTGAATTTGTGGATAAACAAAAACTGTTATTCCAAAATTAAGCATAGGCGAATCTTCTGTAATTCGAACGTCAACATGTGAAGCCTTTTGACTGTCGAAATATAGCGAGGAATAAGATAATCCAGGGTGTTTAGGGCCGACAGGGAAACATTCTGTAATATTCGGGAATACTGCAATCTGATTGTGTACAACATCATAGGTAAAACTATCTCTTCCTAGCGGCCACAGATATTTAGGTGGTACCAGACTACAGCCTAGTCCAATACTAGTAACTGAAAGTACAATATATTACAGAAGATAAATGTAGCAGAGTATAAAATTGAATGAAATTTATAAAGAAAATGAAAAAAAAAATAAAGTGAGGAGTGAAAGAACGTATAGATGGGGTTTGGCGTCTGGTTGCGGCATGCTTTGAGAGGCTATTATCGATACTAAACACAATAGAAAAAAGAAATACCAGACTACTCTCCCTTTTCTATATTTCCTGTTGTATCAATAATCTTTGATCATATTCAAGAATCCAAACCTCGTCTTATCTTATTACGGAGCCCTATATGCGCAATTTTCAATAGTTTTAAAAATCATTTCGTTTAAACGAAATAGTATCATATATTTGATTTATACAAAAAGTAATTCGTTTACACGAAATATGTAATTGGTTCGATTGAAATAATCAATTCGCATGTATAAAAGTCTATTTATTAATCTCCTTTCGACTTATAAAAATTATGAAATTTGCCTTGTAGACAAGCTAGCATCTTCACAATGATCAATTACGAACATTCTCTTATATCTTGATTACAATAGCAAATGTTCTTGTATCACAGAATGCAGCGATTTGATTGTAATTGTGAAGAAGGCACCGCCCTTGACTCTGTTCAAATGCTTCAAATTTGGTTTCAAATATGATAAAGGCAACACTTATACAATCTTGTTCAGCTTTTATGTTGATGAAACCTTGTTCATGTTTGAATTTAATGCTTATTTTACAAATCATTTTTCATATGCCATGTCATATACAATATTTCAAAGATGGGTTCCCTTATTTTTATTTATGAAAATGAAAATACTAATACTTATATAAAAAAAAGAAGAGGTGTTCTAATGACTTGGAAAAATACCAGTTTGTCTCACATGTCCATAATTAATTCATAATAAGCTAAATTAGAAGAGAATTACCAGCAGAATTTCAATGAGTGACCGATCAAAAAGGTCAAAAAGTCTTCTTTTTTTTATTTATCCAGACTGTACATACATGGGCGTGATTGGTTAAAACTCAATAAGATCATAATGATATGATTAAGAATACACGATAATTCATTAGAAACACAAATTAATCAAAAAGTTTGCTTATAATTTGACACTAAAAATTAAGGAAACCCATCTATAAAAGTTAAGATTTGAGAGCAGTGTGATTTTGATAGTTTGATGTATTTGGTTTTTGGGAAAGGGAGGGT